ACAAGGGACGCATATTAGCAAAAGTATGTAGGCATAGGACACCCCCCCCCCCCCCCCCCACCGCCACACCTCCTTAAAGGAGAATTGTACAAAAAATGATTAGTTAAACCCACAAGTACTTTTTTTTACCACTACTATTCCTTTATACTGGCTTTTGAAATGTACAAATGCATCATTTTAGAAATTGGATGACTGGATGAAAGGTTTAGCACTGGGAAACACTTATTGAAAGATAAAAAGTGCATTTTACATACAACTATATAGATCAGACCAAAATGATTGACAAATGAGGAGGAAAAAGGGACAGAGGGACTTTGACATCAGGGACAGTTGGGAGCTATGGTAAGCTACTAAGTACATAAAGAGATACAATATCCATTGTATATATAGCTTGAATTTTTTGTTTATTTTCTTTCTTAATTTGTAATGGTATATTATGTTGGTTAATTGCAGAGGTCTTCCCATATATACTCCTGAAGAAGTGGGGCGCCCCACACTGAGGTTTTGGCTTCCTTGAACACTCCAGCTGATTCACTTACAGCCTTTATAATAATCAAAGAATTGGTATGTGCATTAGGAATTTTTAGCTTGGGATATCAAGGGGGTCTATAATTGAGGGAGAGTTGTACTTTCCTGCTGCTATTAATCTGTGCAGGACATATTCTTTTAATACTGTATTCATATGGGTGAGATCATGTGTATTTTTAACTTTTATACCAATAAATTAAAATTGTAGACTGTTTGGGCATCTTTAAAGTCTACTTTCAAAACTCCATCTACTGGTGCCATGTAACAATCACCCACAAACTATCTAATGTGTATGTTTAGCCAAAGTTTTTCTTCTACATTTTGGATGTAATTGGAAAAGACTGAACTCCTGTAAGATTTTTTTTTTTACTGCTGTTTCTATGTCTATGAGTCACCTTTTCTGATTTTCCTCCACTTTTATCACTTTTGCCTCTATAGAGCAGAGAGTGAAGGAAAATCTGCCCAGTGTCTTGCAGACAGCAAAAATAAATTGACAGGGGTTTAAACGTTTTCTACTCTATTAAACTGAAAGGAAAGGTTTAGCTGTATATATGCTTGAAACCCTACCATATTCCACCCAAGATGGAAATTTTCATTTTTGATAGGGATAATATTTAATTCAACATACATCTCATAATGTATAAAGAATATCCAAAAAAATGCATCTGCAATGTACCAAAAAGTGTATGGTGATTTTCCAAAACACACCAATGGATAGAAAAACACACAATGTGAATGTATCAAATGAAGATTTAAATGAGTTGGATTTCGTGGACAGAGAACATGAACCAGAGAATAGCTCTTACTGTACTTTATTAAAGAGAGGGAAAACAGGACAAAGACCAAACTGTGTCAGAGAACACAGCACTGGAACTCCATGAGGAGAATAATGCACTGCTTGGTTTAATATTGTGTCCCATCCAGAATGTCCAATTATATTGGGCTCATTGCATATTATCCTCAGACAGGGGAAGAGGGAGTTATATAAAACAATTAAATATATGAACATAGCAAGAAAACCAGAAGGGACCATAAATCAAAATACCTGTGTATAACGTACTGATAGAGGTGGTCCTTACCTGAGTCATAAGTCACTTGCAGCTGTTGAACTCACCATCCTTCCTTTACATTTGTGCAGGGGACAGTTGCAAAGTTGCATTTGTGGAAACCCTGCACAGCACACCTGTGTTCCTGGAGCCTTTGTACCTCTTGTAAAGTGATGCACATTTGTGCAACTGCAACTGGAAGTGCTATGGCTTGAAGGCACAGTATGTGTGTTCTAGCACCCAGACCATTTTTGATAAGGACAGGTAGTCGCAGAGAAAAACAAGGTGTGTGCCAAGTATACTGGAAAAAATGCTAAATACGGGCTTTGAGTGCAGTAATTAGTCTGGGTTGTAGTACTGGAAGCTCCACATGAAATACTCAATAGGTTGATAAGAGTTCCATTGGCTACAGCAGTTTGTGATGTCTGGTCTATCCTATAGTTGTGTGCCTGTCCTATAGGGCTCTAGAAGGACAAGTATCAATACTCGATACTCTTATGATTTTTAGTTACTACTTTTTTTTGGTATTTTTTTTTTTACCAAAAATGAAAGCTAGTGACTGGGACTGTAGGAATCTCCTAAAATCCCACAGTTTAAATGTTACCTCTAACAGTATTCAGACTGGTTTTTGTCATCATACTGCAAAGATGTGGCAACTGTTGCTCCACGACTTTTAAAGCTTGACCTTTATTTCTAATACTACTTATTGACAAACTGCTGATATACCTTAACAGACATTGTCCAGGATTCAGAAACTGATAAGTTGCAGCCACTTGGATCGCTAAAGAACTGTTGGATGCCTATTGGTAGCTGGATCAATATTTGAGAGGGAGGTCCAGTTTTTCTAAAGTCCCTCACTTGAAGCACCTGTATATAATTTATTGTGCCTTTTACAGAGTATACAGAACCATTCATATCATTGTTAGTCCCATAGAAGCTTTACAGCTAATGTTCCTGCAAAGGCACAAATTATAGAAAAAAAAAAAGAAACTTGTGTCCATTTGGTTGCAATAAGTTGTGGAATGTATGATGAAAGTATTGTCAATACAGTGAAGGCATAAACTCCAAGCAGGTAGTGTAAGGTCGACAACTAAACCCATGTTTCGAATGCCTCAGAAGGCCAAAAGTCTTAAAAATGAAGGCACTTTACTTCTCTGCAAAATATTTACATCTTCTATTAATGAGAACAAATACTCTTGATGCAGTTTCCTGTAAGATGGAAAAATACCTGAGCTATAGACCAGCATCTCTGGTAATAGGGTTGTGTAGGCATGACTGCATAGCTCTGCCCAGGGGCGGACTGACCATTTGGAAACTCGGGCACTGCCTGAGGGCCCGGGGTCAGTAGGGGGCCCCATAAGATGCCCCTGGTACCTTTTTCATAGGCTTTTTTGAGTTTGGGCAAAGACACAGGGGCCCCATGATCCCCTATTGCCCGGGGCCCCAGGAGTTGTCAGTCCGCCCCTGGCTCTGCCTACTATATTTAAATGAGTACTAGACCAAATTTTATTTTTTAAGTAGAGGAAAAATCTTTATGTAACTTCTGTTATGTGATGCAATGTTGTGCTTCACATATGGGAATATTTACACATATTTCTATATATGTTTACCAATGACTGTTTATACAAGGCATCCAGTGTTATAGGCTTAATACCTTTTCAATGAACATTTTGTTGTAGTGAAACTGTAAAAGTCATCAATTAGGACTGGTGCTTATGCCCTGAACATTACCCTATATAACAGAGCCGCCCTTGTATCTACACATTTCAAAGAAGCCTAGATATGGGCTTATACCTAATGAAGGAAAGAATGCAGCAATGAATGGTTCCAGAGTATTTCTAGCTAGCGGAGAGAACCTCTAAATAACTTGTTTCATTAAGCCTTCCCCGCAGTTCCAGCTGTGAAGAAGGGAGGGCCCATGCACATTGTGCCATAGACAAGAAAAGGTTGTTAGTTCACACACTGCTGATTATTTGCTTAATACCTCAATTAGAGCTTTATGACCTCAGTACAGCTTATCTACCTATCTAGTGCCTGACTTTTACAATTTCTGCTATCAGTAAATCTGACTTTTATTACTCTCCTGGAAGGCATTTGTACCTCAGACCACTCTGTTTCCCTTTAGCTGTGACCAAAAGTGGGAAAAAAGTAGTCAATATATACAGTAATAATTTCAGAAAAGTAGTGTTCTAAAATAAGTATCATTTTACAAAAAGTGTTGAAGTAGGATTATGGACAAAAGCAAAAATAACATAGATGAGCTGCCCTGTCACATAGTTTTACTACATGTTGATCACGTTTAGTAGTTCCGTTTTGCCATTTCCTGAAACTGGCTGATCATTCTGTAGGGAAATCACTGCAGCACTGTCACCCTGTGGAAATGACAGTTCTAAATACACATACAGTTTAAATGGACTTTAAGTAAATGAAACACAAATTAATGTCCAACTCCAAAGGCTCCTGCACTGGGACCAGCATGCTCACTTTTTGCTAATGACATGTTGATCTATTTAACAGACCCCTGGAAGTCTCTAGACAGATTACCGTACTATATTATAAAGAATTTTAGACATTTTTCCAGCTTCTGTTTAAACAGGGAGAAGTCTATCATTTTCCCATAATGGAACTGGATTCAGTGCCTCAGATCCCATTTCTTGCCCTTTGAAAGTAATTGGATAGATTTTGGTATTTAAGCATCACCATACAAAAACCTCTACAACAATACAGCTCTAATAACCTCAACCCCCTAATACTTAAACTTAACTCACACACTTGGTCCAAACTGCCCCTGAATGCTCTGGGTCGTATAAATAGCTTTAAAATTACATTTTTGTTCTCTTTGTTTTTTGTATGTGCTGATTAATTCTCTGTTATATATGCCTCCACATAAATTCAAAGAGATAGACACAATTCTGAGTTCTTTTCAATGGGAACCAAAACAGCATAAATAGCATTTCTAGAGATACCTTGCACATTACTCCTGGTTGACAGTGGTATGGCCTTGCCTAACCTATAGGGTACTACTTGGCATCCCAGCTTGTTCATGCACCATGGTGGTTCTTTCCAGAATACAATAACTGCTACAGCCACTATAGTCACCATTTTAACATCCATTGAATCTTTATGAAAGTTTATGCATAGGAAAAAACCCTATTGTGTGTGCAGGCACTGAAATACTTTGTATGACATACTGTATTATCCACCTTGCTAAAGTAGCCCTAATCATGAGGCAGCACATTCCCCTAACACTCCTCGATGGCATAACCCACAGCTGAAGGCATTTTTTGGGCTTGCTATGGTGTCCAATACATACACTGTTTGTAATGTAAAGAAGCCTTTAAATCTTTCTCAGAAATTCAAAGATAATGTGGGATGCCCAACACTATGAACATTTGATATTTCATACAGCACAGCTGTACAGCTGGGATTCGTTGGGTGACATTTCCTACCTACAAATTACAGGAATTACTTAGCACCATAATGTCAGGAGAGTCTAGCTCTCTTGCTCCATCACAGCTCCTGGTCTTATTCCAGCATCCTGGTTTTGGTTGTGATTCATTCTCCCTGTCTGTCCACCTGCAAGGTAATTCATATGGCCAGTCTCTGGGTGGAGACCAAATCTGATTTAAGCCAGCCAAGCCTGCAGTCTCATGCTTGTGATAGCGTGTGTAATACATGCTCAAGCTCCCTGTCTGCCTGTCCTGCTCTGCTGTCTGGATTCCTAGTTTATGACCTCAGATCGGATATTGACTATGCTCTGAACTCTGCCTGCCTTTTGACTACGGATTGGACCCTGACTACTCTAAACCTAGTCTGCCTTGTACCTGGACTGTCATTGAACTACTCTGCCTGTCTGCCAACCACAAGTACCTGTTTCCTGTGCTCAGTTTGCGCCTGCCCCCGCATGGTAGCCAGGCCAGGTACTATAGCATTGTGTATATTTAAGTACTGGGGGGCAATTGAGTACTGGTAGGCATTCTTGCCTTATGGGAAAGGGGACTTCTATAAGTGAAGAACACAGAAGTGTGACACATAAGCTGGTATCAACATAGTACTTCACATCATACCTACCAGGTCTGTCAGAGGATGTCTGGTGAGACATATTGGGCCCATATATTATATCTATTATATCTTCCAAAGATAAACTGGTTAATTTGAAATGTTTACACAACATACACCCCACACCCTACCAACTTTTTTTAAATAGGAAAATTGTCTGCCCTCTCTTGTCCTAAATGCCTGACAACCACAGGAACATTTTTTTTTAATTACTTGGGTGTGAGATAATCAATTCCGCTGCAAATCTTCTAGGTCTACCCATTATTTGGTACCTGCTGAGATACCTTATATTGTCAAAAGTATTGGTCCCCCCCTCCAAATCATTGGATTCAGGTGTTCCAATCACCTCCATGGCCACAAGTGTATAAAATCAAGCACCTAGGCACGCAGACTGCTTCTACAAACATTTGTGAAAGAATGGGTCGCATTCAGGAGCTCAATGAATTCAAGAATGGTACCGTGATAGGTTGCCAACTGTGCAACAAGTCCATCTATGAAATTTCCTTGCTACTAAATATTCCACAGTCAACTGTTAGTGGTATTATAACAAAGTGGAAGCAACTGGGAACAACAGCAACTCAGCCACAAAGTGGTAGGCCACATAAAATGACAGAGCGGGGTCAGCGCAATAGCTACAAAGCTCCAAACTACTTGTGGCCTTCAGATTAGTACAACAACAGTGTGTAGAGAGCTTCACGGAAAGGTTTATCATGCCCTGTGCGCTCCCAGCACATATGTCGGGGTGTCTCATGGAAAGGTCCTGATCTCCCCTTGCGATCAGGACCTTTTCCGATCATGTGACTGTCATATCAGCTCATCACAGCAGTCACGTGACCCTAAAACCCCGCCCCGCCTCTTGGCCTCTGAAACCCCTTAAAGGGCCAAGAGGCGCCGGTGTGAAGAGGTTAAAGAGTAACTTCACTTTTGTTGAGGAAAAAACATTCCCCTCTGGGTGATTTATGTACACTGCAGGGATTTTAACAAATGTTATTACTGATTCCTACCTTTTGTTATTCTGAAGAAATAGATGTTTGTTTGTCTGTGTTCATGTACAGAGTGAATCAGTATAGGAGTAGTTTTATAATCAACTGCTGCACCTGCAGGGTTCTAATGAAGAAAGAGTCAGGGTCTGCATCCCTTTAAATGTGATTTCCCTTTGGGAGTAACTCACAAAAAAATTACATTTTTGTTGCAGTTGATCCCAAAAATGTACTTGTATCTTAAAGTGTTACTAAATCCAGGACCCTGCATTCACTATATCTGGTCTCCCACAGTACACAGAACATGGAAAAGCAATTATTTTTAGTATATGTAAAGTGCTAAATACATTTAGAGCAGTCATGTGACTTCTATCAGTGTCCAGCAGAGCACTAGTTAAAGCTTGAAGGAGGAGTTTTCTTTCTCCTCTTGCTGTCCTATGAGGCTGCAGGACTCCTGACCCTCTGTCTGGACAGTGTTGATTGGCCCTCTGCTGATCATATGCACCCTCGCAAGAATAATTCTCTAGCAGTACACATTAAACTGAGCATGTGCAGTTTGCCTCCAAGGTTCTGTTCTATGAGGAGATGAAATGGGGACAGTAGAAGAAGGGGAGGGTCAGAGAAGACAGGATCAAACATCCTTTTTTACACAATGCCGAGGATTAACCCCTTAAGTTCCACTGTGAGTATAACAAGCATGCTTCACTGCATATACAGATTGATTTTAACTGGTGTGGGTTCAGTAACACTTTAATGCAGATGTCTGGCATTGAGCCAATCACTCAAGTAGGAAATTACATTTTCAGGGGGCATTCTGTACACCATCTGCATACAGAACCTCTCCAGGTAGCCATATTGCATTGCATTTTACAGAAAATGACAGCAATGCAGATTGAAGGAAAGGCATTTTTAATTACAATTACAATATAACTTGAGTTGTATATGTTATATTATTTTTTTATTTGCTAATTTTTTTCCTATGAAAGTGGAGTTCCCCTTTAATGAGAGTACATTGAGTACAAGACAGGCAAGGGATCAACTCTGTCCTTTTTATGCCTAAAACATGCCACATTTATCAAGCTACAGTTATGACGGAAAACTTAAATGGAAGCCAGTTGTAGCCAACTGTAACTCTGAAATTTCAGGATAAGCCTGTGATAACAAATGGCAGTGGTTTTTAATCAATGAAAACACTTTTTACTCAAGGGGTCATACTGCAGTGAGGAAGCAATTCTCCATTGATCTGTTTGATTAATTGATTGTCCAGTGGAAATATTCTTCATTTCTGATTCTAACATGCCCCGGGATACCCTCTCATCTGAAACTTAGAGAGGGTTTGCGTTTTTTTTTTGCATTCATAATCTATTTTTGTCACTCACAATGCATTTTTCCCTTAGCAGTTGGCTATAGACCATGAGCAAACCCCATGGGGTGGATGAAAACGTTCACTTTTTAACAATTGATTTCAGTCAGTTGTTCTGGAATAAATATCTGTTCTGAGCTGTCTGTTCCCAATGAACACTAGTGTCTAAGAATTACATTTGACTCTCATTCACTCTAATATTAAATTTTGTAGAAAAACCGGATGTATTTAGAACATTATGGAAATGATATAGGGATTCAATATCACCCTGCCAGGGGGTAAACACATCATCTATATAGCGCCAATAAGCACCACAGAACAAGAGCGCTAGTGCGGCATCTAATGTTACATAAAGCTCAGTCGCACATGTACTGTGTAAGTGATTTTACTTAGAATTTCAACTTTTTTACACTATTTTCATGTTTGTGTTTTTTCTTTTTGCTTTGTCAAGAAGAGTGGATTCCAAAAATAAAGGATTTCCAAGATTATTGCAATGGGCAATTCACAAGCATTGTATGCCTTTCATTAAACAGAAAGATACAGGGTTTGGTGAATGCATTTTCAGGTTTAGGAGGACAGAACATAGGTGGTTGGATTATCCAATGTGAAGATTTACAATAAATGAAGAAGACTGAAGAAGAATTGACATTTAAAGGACTATATTACATTTATTATTTTAATAAATTTATGCAGGTATCATGATTGAAATAATCTTCAGATATTGTTTATATGTATATAGTTTCACATATAATAGCAGTGTGTATATTTTCCATTTTAAAGTTGCATCTATATGATATACACTATATTGCCAAAAGTATTGGGATGTCTGCCTTTACACACACATGAACTTTAATGACATCCCAGTCTTAGTCCATAGGGCTCAGTATTGAGTTGGCCGCCCTTTGCAGCTATAACATCTTCAACTCTTCTGGGAAGGCCGTCCACAAGGTTTAGGAGTGTGTCCATGGGAAGGTTTGACCATTCTTCCAGAAGAGCATTTATGAGGTCAGGTACTGATGTCAGATGAGAAGGCCTGGCTCACAGTCTCTGCTCTAATTCATCCCAAAGTTGTTCTATTGGGTTGAGATCAGGACTCTATGCAGGCCAGTCAAGTCCACCCCAAACTCGCTCATCCATGTCTTTATGGACCTTGCTTTGTGCACTGGTGTGCAGTCATATTGGAACAGGAAGGGGCCATCCCCAAACTGTTCTCACAAAGTTGGGAACATGAAATTGTCCAAAATGTCTTGGTATGCTGACGCCTTAAGAGTTCCCTTCACTGGAACTAAGGGGCCAAGTCCAACCCCTGAAAAACAACCCCGCACCATAATCCCCCTCCACCAAACTTTACACTTCGCACAAAGCAGTCAGGCAAATACTGTTTTCCCGGCTACCACCAAATCCAGGCACGTCCATCGGATTGCCAGAGAGAGAAGCGTGTTTTGTCACTCCAGAGAATACATCTTCACTGCTCTAGAGTCCAGTGGCGGCGTGCTTTGCACCACTACATCCGACGCTTGCATTGCATTGGGTGATGTAAGGCTTGGATGCAGCTGCTCAGTCATGGAAACCCATTCCATGAAGCTCTCTACACACTGTTGTTGTCCTAATCTGAAGGCCATATGAAGTTTAGAAGTCTTTAGCTATTGACTCTGCAGACAGTCGGCGACTTCTGCACACTGTGCGCTTCAGCATGCGCTGACCCCACTCTGTCATTTTACGTGGCCTACACTTTCGTGGCTGAGTTGCTGTTGTTCCAGTTACTTTCACTTTGTTATAATACCACTAGAAGTGGACTGTGGAATATTTAGTAGCAAGGAAATTTCATGGATGAACTTATTGCACAGGTGGCAACCTATCACGGTACCACACTTGATTTCACTGAGCTCCTGAGAGCAACCCATTGTTTCACAAATGTTTGTAGAAGCAGTCTGCATGCCTAGGTGCTTGATTTTATACACCTGTGGCCATGGAGGTAATTGGAACACCTGAATCCAATGATTTGGAGGGGTGTCCCAATAGTTTTGGCAATATAATGTATGTATTTTGATGTTTGCTTTTCAACTTGGAGCCATTCTGGTGCCTGGACTGATGTTGGATAGACAGATAGATAGATAGATAGATAGATAGATAGATAGATAGATAGATAGAAACCATACATTCCCTTTAGTTGATGCTCAGATAATAGTATTCAGTAATGGCTAACAGTCATTTAAAAAATGATGTTTTATAATGTAATTCCCCTTCAAGAGTGATTATTGGAGTTCTCCTTTAAGGAGCTCTGAGAAGTCTAGCCTGAAATCAGCGTGATTCCTCCTCTTGCAGTTATAGTTCTGTAGATCTGAGGCGCACACTGGCAGCTTCTGATATAACAGCGAAGTTTCAAATACGTTAATTATGCAATAATTACCCATGTGTGTCAGTGGCCTGCTAGCCTTTGGAGACTGACATGTAAACTAAAGGAAGATCATAACTGTTTTGGGATTCCACCCTGATTGTGGCTGCATGTCTGTATCTAATAATGTAAAGCTCTCTGGGAGGCCAGAATGGATGAAAGCCACTTTATAAATTCATGTTATATTTAGAAAGAGCTATGCAGCTGTGTTCTGCTGTTACCTAATGAGACAAAAAAAGTCCTTTAATATCCCATCTTTCTTTATTAAAGAAATGATTTCATGGCCTGTAATACCCCACGGCAAAATTCCACTTGTGTAGAGTGTGCATGCGAGCAGCCCTATAATTATTTTAAGTTCATAACTTTCAGTGCCTCATTAAAGAGGGAAACCTAGGTGGGGGTTTTCTGTGTTAGGGGAAGCATTAAATCTTCACAGTTCAAAAGCTACCTACTGAATGGCACAGCTTTAGCTTTCAGTTATTCTACACAACGAAGCCAAATACATACACCAACATGTGGGAATCCGTGTTAGTTTTATGCTATTTGTGAAGGTTCCTGTTGACTTTTAAAATTTACAGGAATTAAATATACACCTGTCAGCCTTTTTATAATGTAAAGAGCAGACAGCACGATGTACCACCTATTACCTTCAAAGCAGAACTATACTCACCTCCACTCTACTGATGCAGTATCCATGAGTGTCCTCACCGATTGCTGACATCTTTGGCCGGTCTTCTTCCAGGTTCTGACAGCCGACCGTTTTGATTGGCGGGGCCAGGATAACATCACTCCCGCACATGCACAGGAGGTAATTCATCTTGGGAAAAATGCCAGCACAGCTCTGTGTACATTGCAAACAAGCAGGTAAGAATACTTTTGCAGAAGAGACATAGGGGTTGATTTACTAAAATTGGAGAGTGCAAAATCTGATGCAACTCTGCAGAGAAGCCAAGCAGCTTCTAGGATTATTGTCTAAGCTTACTTAGCTGAAGCTAGAAGCTGATTGGCTCCCATGCACAGCTGCACC